GCAACTTATGTTCTTCTTTTAACAATAATGTACCTACTTTATTCTTCTTTTATTGCATGTTTTAACATTTAGAATTTGATTTTTGACCAAATATTTCTCGAGCAAATGCAGTCGATGAATACCAGGTGGAACCTGGAGAAGAGTCACAGAAATTGATGTGCAGTAAAGTGGAAAGACATGAACTAACATCAAGAGGCTAGCCCAGTATAGGGAAAGATGGAATGTGTTTATTTCTTTGCCTATGTCCTGATCCAGGGTGAGAAAGGCAATGATGATGATGATGACATGCAGCCGACACAAAAGATTAACAAACTGTAATCTGTTTATTTTTTTAAAAATTGGGTTGAAGTAAGTTTTAACAGCTGGCCGACGTACTGCTTTGTTTCATGTCATGTGACACATACATAGGGTTAATGATCTTCCGATTGGCTCTTGGTCATGATTTTCACCAAAATGGAAGTGATAGCGACCTGGAAAATAAGACGTGTTTTAAATTACAGGATCGGTTCGACTCTTACCAAAATGGTGACTTTTTACCCTCCATGAAAAAAAAGCTCTCTCAGAAATTTAAAAAGAGCGAGACCTATGCTCGCAAAGAATGTTGTCGCGTTGAAAAAGTCTGAGGTAAATTGTTTGAGTAAAATCAGAAGGGAAATTAATTAGAACCTGACCTGACAAGACTTGTGGTAGTTGTAAGAAGAAAAGTGAGTAAGGTGGTCGAGTGATTAGGTTCTCAGACTAGCAACCGTAAGGTCGTGGGTTTGAATCCCGCAGGAGACCCGACGTTGTATCTTTGGGAAAGGTACTTTACACGAATTTTCCTCACTTCAGCCAGGTAAGAATGGGTACCCGGCTATAAACAGTGCACTGTCATGTCAGTTTGTAATGTTTGAGCGCATGCAATCCGCAGCTTGCACTGTATGCTTCTCGGGAAACCGAGAATGTTTTTGAGTCTTCTGGGGTTTGCTGGGGTAATAACATTGATAAAGCGCATAGAGCACGCTGTATATCTTGGATGTGCAATTATTATCATCATAAAGAAGCTTGGAAGCTGAAGAGCTGCGAAACCTCAGAAAAGAATAAGAAACATGTCACAAGTCTTCTACCTGCTCGTGCCACTCCAAAATTAATGCTTACTGGGATTTTTTGGTCCAGATACTTATATAATGTTTCCACATTAAAACGTGTGAGATGGTTTTTGTTTTGTTTTCGGTGGGTTTTGTTTTTTTACACCATTATGCACGATAGTAATTTCATTCAATATAACTGAGCGAAATGTTTTCTGGACATTGTGTAGCTCTGAAGTACATAATTATTTATTATCAGCCCCACAAAGACTGTCCCCTTCTGTTACTGGTAGAGGAGTCATTATGTTTTCATAATGGTCACTCGCAGAAACGAGAGTAGAAAAGAGAAATATAACTCCTCGACCCTCCCCCGCCGCGTGACACACTTATGAGGACCTGTGATAATAATATGTGGTGCGACGCGGTGGAATCGTGCGCTTGTCAATTTATGGGCACATGTAGTTATTGAGTAAATCTTAAGGCTTGTTTATTGTCTTTCTTCAGCTGAAAAAAAAACCCATTTATCTTGATTAGAAGTAGAGATTCTTGCGTTTGAAACAGGTGGGGGTCCCGGTGCAGAGAAAAAATTACCGAGAAAATTGCCGGAAAAGTTTGGCAATTTCTAAAGATTTAGAGTCCGGGGAAACTGTAAATTGACACATTTTTGTTCTTTTGGGCAAGATATTTCATCAAAACGACTCAGAAATATGTTTTAAATGGATATAAACGATGTTGAGCCAAATAACAACAAACAAACAAAAAATGCTCTAAAAATTCCAACGGGCGGAAAAGCAAATGCTTATTCCTTCGATTTCATTATTTTGACAAGCGCCTGATTTCACCACGCTGCATCACATATTACAAAAGTGCTTACCACTCTGCTTCCTGAGCTGGCCAATTAGATCACACGCGAGGGCAGTGCGTGTCACGAGTCAATTTATTCCAACCCTCAACTCGCCTCAAGAGAACCGTGTCAGGGTTAGCGATATCTGGTTACACGAAACGAAAACCCCAACTAAACAAATGTTGACTTAATGTCAAGTTGGGCGTTGTTACGAACGTTATGTTTTGCTGCGAATGCAATGCATGCTTTCATAATTATAGCCCGGGGGGGGGGGGCAGTAAAAGTTCTTGTCAGTTGTTAGTGCTTGAACGCATGAACTCCACAGCTGGCACTGTATGCTTTTCGGGAAGCGGAGAATGTTTCTGAGTGTTCTTGGGTCTGCTGGGGTAATAATAGTTGTAAAGCACAAAGAGCATAAGAATATGTGAAAATGGTGAAATGGTACGGGTTTAACGCCCCTATCAACACTATTGGGTTATTTAAGAGACGGGACCTCCAAGTCCACCTCCGAAAGGACCAGCCCAAGTGGGAAATTCGTGTAAAGTGCCATTCCCAAGGACACAACGTCGGACCGAGCTGAGGCTCGAACCCCAGAACACGCAATCTCACAATTACGAGTCTGGCAGCCTAACCACTAGGCTACCGACACCACCAGAATAATATTATTCATGAGACTTCTACTTTGTTTGAATCTTGAATGCGACGACACCGAAGCACTCTTGTCTCTAAACGTCATGAAGTTATGTTTTTGAATGTCTGCAGGTCCCCCTCCTACATCCTGTCGCTCCAACGTCTGTGAGGAGAACAGTTTGGGTCTGCGCTGTCCCAAAGATCACGTACTGCACATTCAGAAGATGGCATGCGCGGCCGGACGTGCGTCATGCTCGCAGAGCAGTCGTGTGACGTTGTACACATTGTGCGAGGGCTCCCAGCATTGTGACGCCTCGGGACTCCGCTCATTACTGGCCGAGCACTGCATGGCCGCAGACAAGTCCAGCAGAAGTGTACTCGTCCACTACGTTTGTTTGCCAGGTTCGTACTGACAGTTTTTATTTTTAATATAGATATTTACGCCCTTCGTCGATCATTAAGGACGCCGGCTTCTGACTCTGTCTGTCGGGACCAATACGAGCTTAGAGGGATACTTGTACAACATCCCAGCAGAAAGACTGAGGTACTCGATAAAAAGTTTCTTCCCTATCGGAAATCGAACTCAGGTCTCCTGTGTGTGACAGCGAAATGCCTGACCGCTACATCACAGAGGCGGGTACTGAGAGTTTTGGCTTTGGCTATGATTGTTGGATGGTAGAGATTCTAGCCATTTTTTGAATGTTCTGTGCTGCTATCTACACCATTTCGAACACGTAGCAGCTAGGCTGCTTCGGCATACTTTTATTAAATGCTAGGGATGAAGATGACGAATGAATTCCAAATTTTTGGTCTCTCTATTTGAGGAGTTGGGAATGAGGGTTGTGGGTTGTGTCCTCCCCCCCCCCTGGACAGCATGACGGTGATCTAGAGTATTCTAGAGTAAGCGCCAAACAAACTTAACACTAAGATTAATATGCACACTTTTTCCAACATCAGAACATCATGATCACCACCATAAATAATCATCATCATGTTCACCATCACAATTATCATTACCGTCACCGTCACTGTCACCGTCACCGTCACCATCATCATCATCATCATCATCATCATCATCATCATCATCATCATCATCATCATCATCATCATCATCATCATCACCGACTTAATAATTCCCTTTTTTCTTGTTTCGGTTTTCTAGAAAACGTAATAATTTGCACCATGTCGATACATTCTTACTTAACCAACAAATTTGGGCACCTAAATCAGGACACGGGACAAAAAAAAAGAAGGAAAAAAAAAGAAAAAAAGGCTGCTTCGGTATAGCCTGCCAGGGCTAACCCACGGCTGACAGGAATACAGCATCCCAGCAGAAAGAGAGAAGTGTCTTGATAAAGTTGACTTCTTTTCCTCTGGGAAATCGAACTGACGTCCTTAATGCCAGTGTTTTGGCTATGGCTGACGATCCTTTGAACACTGGTTTGTTTTTAAAGAGTTTGAGTATGAGTAAAGGGAAGCACATCGAAACTCTAATGGTCATATAGTGCAGGAAAGAAGCAAGGTAGATAGATAGACAGAAACACCGGAGGGGAAGAAAAGAAATGGGACCTACTATAGAGGCGTACAAAGGCGGCACCCACGTTTAACGTCCGTCTGTGATAAGACTGAGCCAGTATCAGAGACCGGTGAAAAACTCTCAGAAAAAAAGATTCCCGAGAGAGAAAGAGAGCTCTTGCAGGGATGGGACTTGGGACGTCGGGATAACAGTGTGAGTTCCCTAACACAAATACTGCATTGATCTCTAGTGTTTCTTTTTCAGTTTTATTGTTCTGGTTTTAAGACTATTGTTTGTGTTTGCCATCCCTAATGGGTTTGGGAGTAATAAATAATAACTGGGTAGATTCACTGCAAAAAAGCACACCAAAACAACAACAACAACTAAACAAAACGAGTAAACAATTAAAGTGTGACAGAAAAAAGAAGCCAGCTTTTACACGGAGACTATGTGTACCATGTAATTTCTTTTTACTAAAAAGAAAACCCTCATCCGCATTCAGGATGAAACCAAGTTTTGTTGAAAATATTGACGTTTTAGTAGTCAGACTTCTTGGCATTCATTCGCTGACACGGCGGAGATGTATATTGTTTTGAAATTATCAAATGTCATTTTAATACCAACCATCAAGCAAAGGTAATAAAACCACTGGCAGCCTCTTCATTTGAAATGACTAATTCGATTCGATCCAGTGGTCGAATTACAGTGCAACAACACCCTGGTAAGTGTGTACAACAGTCTTTTACATTTTCCATCTGTGCCGACTGTCAATTGCCTGTTTGCAGCTAGGTGTACTGGAGGAAAAACAGGCAAATTTTCCATTCCTAAAGATTCAACGTCCTGTCCGACGAAACCGGGAATCGAACCCACAATCATTTCGTTGCAATTCGGTCACCTTACCCTTCTGCAATACGTGATTTCCGATAAATTTGTAAAATAGGAATCTGGGAATCAAATCTCAGATGAATGACGATATTAAGCCAGTGTGCGCTCCTAACGCCCAATCGGGGCATGCGAAATATCTTCAAATCAAAGAGGGGTTTGGTTTTGGTTTTGAATTTTGTATTAAACGCGTGTCGCTCTCAAATTTAAAGCCCACCCGGACAATAGCCCGTGAGCAAAATGTCCTGCAACGCAGCCGTCAATTTTGATCCTGAGATTAGATTGCCTAAATGAGGGGGCGGGGGGGTAGTTTTTCATCGACGTCGTCCGAATTGAGTGTGCCCCTGCACGCATGTCTTCCGAAAAAATAAAACGGGAAGGAAGTTGAAGGGATCTGTCTTGTTCTAAAGATAGGTGTTTACAGCCTCAGGATTCTGTCCTCACTTTATCTGTGAACTTCTTTAGTAGGGGTGATCTCATAACTCTCTCCATAACGTTTTTCCCCAATTCTTTTTTTCTCATGCCATGGAGTCCGCTCCGAGATGTTGTCAGTTTCGAATGGTTAAACGTCTGAAGTTATATTATATGCCATACCAAGCCCTATCAACAATATGTTGTTAATATGTTCAGCAAAGCCTGCTTTGGTGGCTATCCTGTTTTATTCCTGAAAATAAGAATTGTTAAGAGTCTGAAATTTACTGCCTTATCAAGCTTATCAACTTCAACTTATGCAGTTAATATTTTCATTAAAAATTGCGTTGGTAGTCATCTTGACAAATGCCAGAGAATAAAATAGTGAAAAAAATTATTTTATTCGAAATGTTTATGAAAGCTGTTTTGTCTCATGCGTATACTGAAATAATGTAAACATTCTAAAATTGATTTCTTCGTAAGCAAATCTTCCTTGCAGTGTTTGCCACACTTTGTGCTACAACTCTCTCTCTCTCTCTCACACACACACACACACACACACACACACACACACACACACACACACAATTGGATAGAACAATCTTTGCATCCATTGAAAAATTATTACAAGAACATGCTCACGTGTTAAATGTGTTTACAGTTTGAATGCAGGTTATAAAAACTCGCGTCCCGTTTTGCTGATCATGATAGAGCGAAAATTTGCTAGCAGTGGACGTTTCATAATCTGTTCCCCTCAGGGCCGGTTATTTGTCCGGTTCGACACAGGGCATGCACGCTCTGACATTTCGCATATCGGAGAGGTGGCGGGCAGGCGCGTGGGTGGGCGTGGCGTGTGGGTGGTGACAGCCGTGAATATTCTATCACGATCAAATAAGCTATGGGGCGAGGGAAGGTCAATTGGTACAAGATGAGTACGGTCGAGGAAGTCAGGCAGCAAACGCTGACCCATCAACGCCAGAGTAGGATTTTGTTGGTGAGGAATTCTTCGACACAACGTTAAGCCGCTGTCAGTGGCTGTACATGTATACGTGTGGGTGTTTTT